GTGCGCCTTATGTATTAATTCTGGTTGTGCTTACTGACTTTGAACCAATTTTATGTGGTACAACTGAACAATGTTGAGAGTTACTGTGAATGAGTTGAATAAAGTTTGACTTATATGACGGTTTTGTTTTTGCTTAATGCGCCTTATGTATGAAAACAGACCCGTTCATTGATATTGCGCCTTATAGTCTGAAAAATACGGTATTTGAATTAATTGTTTCAGCATGCATAAAATATTTTGTTTTTAGCATATTTGTGTGGTGGAATTAGTTTCTATTCTTTATAACTTAGCTGTTCTGTCTTTTAGACACACATGTATTAAAATAGTTCTTTTTTAATTGTCTTTACATTTTGTTTAAACACACTTGTTCTGTGTTGGTCAGTTGATCGTAGCTTTTGAACTAGGTCTGAACACAGTGTACTCTGCTGATATTTTTCTGCCATGCTGACACCCTTGTACTCATAAAAACACCCACATCGCCTCTGTATATCTCTGGGATCTGTACTACTCTGGCACTGAGGCGAGATCGTCTCTGTGAGCAGGGAAACACTGAATTTGTTGCCTCGTTTCAGACACTTTTATGTGGATGTATCTATGTTTTGTTTGTAGCTACAATAAAAGTCCTGCTCCTATTTTAACCGTTGTTTTTCTTTTAAGCGCCTTTAAGTCTGAGTAGCTGGTCTGATGACTTTTTAGCTCCATGTTGTGATGTTGGGCTGCTGATTCTATTTATTTTTAGCTTTACAGCCGTTGCACAATTAAGTCTAAATTAGTGGCATGGTCCAATGAAGAGAGCCTCAAACTATTTTTAAGTACAATATCTTGGTTGAATCTCGTTAAGTATTTCCGCAATTACCCAAGTCCTTTTCCTTTGCCTCTTGGTCATAAACACATTGTTGAGAAGGTGCTGAAAGCTTTTCATGGAGCAGACTTGGATCGACGAATTAAAAGAGCCGATGGACGAGAAATGCTTTCCAACTTTCGAGTCTGTTTTGTTTCATAATCCACATGTTCCTCAAAGGTTAGAAAACGTGTGCACCATAACTCTTGACTTTGAAGAAACAAGTGTCTCTATTTGCTCCTCAAAAAGACAGAGGCTGGGAAGGCAATGGATTTAGAGCGCTAAGCCCCCCCACATCCAGCTCAGGAAACTCGGGGCCTTCTGCTCTTCCTCTGCAGCGACGCCACTTAATCACGCTCACAGCGCCGTAATGGACTTCACTCGCACGTCTCCGCCTTGTCCTTTCCTTCATCTCCTCCTCCTCAAATGATCTGCTCTCTTCTGCCCAAGTGATGTAGGGTCATGAGAATGGGGGGGAGAACACCTACCAAGGAGAAAGCGCACACAACTTTTCTCTTGCAGCTGATAGTGGAAGAAGAGCTCATGCTGCTTGAAGGAAACTTGGACAGTTTTGTTTATCAAAAACCAGGTAAGACATGTTATTTTTTTGTTCGTTGTAAGGTCAGTTTTTTAATTGTTTTATCTTGATAAAGAGAAATTCTCTGCATGCTACTTGTTTTATGTGCCTCTGAGGCCTTTTCTCAAGCATTTCTTTTTTTTTAATCTTACTATGTATGGGAGCATTTAAAAGGAAGATAATCTCTCAGATATTTCTGATATTTCAGTAGTTTTCCAGCAGACCAGAAAAAAGGGCTGATTCAAGCCAATGCTTGATTTTAAGATCTACTTTGCAAGTGTTATTTTCCGGTTTTCCTGCCCCAAAGCAAGACGTCGGTTTATTTCTGAGGATTGTTTCTTTCCCAGAGCATGAAACGATCCAGAGCTGCAACCTGTGATCTGCTTCTGACGTCAGTGTTGGCTCGCTGATAAATAGTTTGGAGTGTAATTATGTTTGAAGGAGCTCGTTTTCACCCTTCACTGTAAATTCTTCAGTAGAACCAGCATCCTTTCCCACAGGCAGTCTTATTGATCTCTGGGGGTTTGTCGACAAAGCGTTTGGTTCTTCCACTGTTGCAGACAGTCATGTTCACAAACAGACTGCAGCAGAAACAACTTGGCCTCAAAGAGTTACTGGTTGTAGCCTGCAGGCCCTCCTCTCCCCACACTCGCTTTCTTTTGTCCTTGTGTGGCACTGTGCAAAAATTACTCTTGTTTTCCCACTATTACTATGTTATTGTAACTGCAGAAGTTTGTTTCTGCAAATATATAATGCAGAGGTCTAATCTGTGACCAAAATTTAATGGGATATTTTTAAACTACAATGATAAACTTGTTTTTAATCAAATAAAATGCATGCATTTATATAGAAATTGGTCTAAATTATTATTAAAAGTAAATTATGTAGCAATAGAACATGTCACTAAGGTTAAAAATTTGTTGTGGTTTACATTTTAAGGACAATTTAAAACTATCACCAAAATTAAAAAGAGCTACAGAGGTTAGAGAAGGCGAGCGTGTGGTTTAAATGTCGCCGTTTGATTCCCCGGACCAACAATATCAATATGTGAGTTGGAAAGGTGAAGCACCCACACCTGTCTCCACCCTCATTTGGCTCACTCTAGGCAAGGCCCTCTACCTCCAACATCTACTCGGCTGGGTGCCCTAGATGGCAGCTCTCTGCTCCACAGAGAGGGATGTAGTAGCTTGGTGGCCTATGATTGCGTCAGGAAGGGGATCTGG